GGGGTTTGGGGGGGTTATGGGGGGCTCTGGAGGGTCCGTTGGGGTGTGGGGGGATTTTGGGGGGCCGAGGGGTCTCTGTGTGTTTCGGGCTCCCCCCTGACCCCCCCGTGTCCCCCCCAGACCAGGCGCAGACGAAGCTCAAGGGGGTCATTTACTTCCAGGCCATCGAGGAGGTTTGGTACGACCCCGGCAGAGTGGCCGGAAAGGTGCGGGAAGGGGGGGGCTGTGGGGCTGGGGGGCACCTATGGGACCCACTGACAGGGTTCTATGGGACTGAGGGGTCTCTATGGGGTTGGGGGGGTCCCTATGGGGCAGGGGCACCTATAGGTCCCACCCAGGGGGTTCTAAGGGGCTGGGGGCACCTGCAGGGTCTGATCAGGGGGTGGTCTCTGTGTCTGCCCCCCAAAATGTCCCCTCCCCTTCCCCCCAGAGCCCAAACCCCCGCCTGACCTTCTGCCTCAAGACCTACGAGCGGCTCTTCTGGCTCGTGGCTCCCTCGGCCGAAGCCCTTCGGATCTGGATGGACGCCGTGCTCACCCTCACCCGCGGCGGGGGGGCCTTCTGAGCCCCCCCAGAGCCTCCCCAGAATCCCCCCAGAATCCCCCCAAAATCCCCCAAATCCAACATCCCCTCCAAAACCCAACTGGGAGCGATGGGTGGCTCTTTTTCCCCTCTCCCATTTCCCACCCTCTTCCCCCTCACGTTTCCCACCCTTCCCCCCCACCCCGATGAACCACGTGAGAGCCCCGACCCTTACTGGGAGCACTGGGAGCCGACGGGAAGCCCCCAGTTCATCCCTCAGGATCCCACCTGGCACTGGGGAGGGGCCGCTGTATTTATTGAAGCTTTTTTTGGGACAAAGCCCCCGTTCCTGGTCTTCGTTGGGGGATGGCACCAAACCACAGTGTCCCCCCAAATCCCCACGTTCCCCCCAACCCCCTGAGCCCCCCCCGCCCACCCGAGTCCCTCCCCCCGCCCCCAGACCCCCCAAAACCACACGAGGCCTGTAGAAAAGGGGGTTTTATTGCCACCACGGGCGGGGGGGGTAATAAATAGGGGGTCGGGGGGTGCCCCGGTGCCGGGGGTCCCGGGGGGGGTCCCGGGGGGGCTCAGGTGCGGCAGCAGAAGCCGCAGCCGCGGTTCCGGCAGCAGTTGCAGCAGAAGGAGCAGAGCGGGAAGTGGGAGCTGTGCCGGCGCCGGCGGCTCGGGGGGGGCTGGGGGGGGAAAGGGGAGGTCAGGGGGGGTGGGGGACCCCCAGGAACCCCCTCGGGGGCGCTGGGAACCCCCCGGAGCCCGGGGAGACCCCCCCTCCCCCCAAAACCCCTGTGGAGAGGGGCCCTCCCCTGTGGGACCCCGGGAACCTGGAATGCCCCCAAATCCCAGGTGAGGGTCCCCCTGGGTGTCCCCAAATCCCAGGTGAGGGTCCCCCTGTGCCCCCTCCCCGACTCACCTGCCCGTCGCCCTCCTGGTTTTGGGGTGACACCTCCAGCAGAGCCTGGGGGGGGCTGGGGGGGGGATGACTCAGGTGTGAGACCCCCCCCGACACTCGGGACTTCGGCTCCAGCGACGACTCGGGGGGCACCTGGGCCTGGGGGGGAGGGAGGTGATGCTCCAGGCACCTGAACACCCCAAAACCCCTGGGACCCCCCAAAAAACGCACCTGGGACCCTCCAAAAACACCCGAGTCCCCCCAAAAACACCTGAGTACCTCAAAACACCTGGGACCCCAAAAAAACGCACCTGGGACCCTCCAAAAACACCCGAGTCCCCCCCAAAAACACCCGAGTACCTCAAAACACCTGGGACCCTCCAAAAACACCCGAGTCCCCCCAAAAACACCTGAGTACCTCAAAACACCTGGGACCCCCAAAAAACGCACCTGGGACCCTCCAAAAACACCCGAGTCCCCCCCAAAACACCTGAGTACCTCAAAACACCTGGGACCCCCCCCAAAACACCTGGGACCCTCCAAAAACATCCGAGT